ACCTCCTCCACCTCCTCCTCCTCCTCCTCCTCCACCTCCTCCTCCTCCTCCTCTCTGCAGCGCTCAGATAAAGAGCACAGTAAAGAGGAAGTTGTATGAAGACAGCCGAGTCCCCATTTCCTCTGAATCCCCGAAGAAGAACGTCAAGAAATCTGCAGTTGCCATGACGCCGGCACCCGCCCCCTCAGCACCCGCCATGATTGGCGTGCCGACCCAGCAAGTTGTTGTGGCAACAGGGATGCAGAACAGCCCCTCCCTGGCCCCGCCTCTCAAGAAGCAGAAGACGGCAGGTGAGAAATAACAGGAAGTGACTCCTGTCCCGTCAGATTTAGATGCGATGATGACACATTGCTCCGCCCCCTGCAGATGTGACTCTCAGCGCTCTGAACGACTCGGACGTGAACAGTGACCTCGTCGACATCGAAGGACTCGGAGACGGATCGTCCAACAAGAAACTCAACTTCGACCAAGGTCAGTTCACACACGTGAAACAGCTCGTTAACATACAAAACTTTATAACAGCTCGTTGGTGGTACCATCAGTAACATGCTGCTTTATTACATCACAGCCCTACACACAACTCGTTAACGTACAAGTCGTCAATGTAAAACTCATTAACATAATGCAACTTGTTGACGTACCATAGCTTGTTAAAGACAACTTGTTCTCGTCTGATCAGATTAACGTGAAAATGTTTTCCCTCGTGTTCCAGAGAGTCTGAACCTGGACTCCAGCCTCATCATGAACTCCAGTGACCTCCCGCTCCTCTCCCGCTGACCTTTGACCTCCAGTCTTCTTCCTGTCCACACTTTTGTATTTTCTACACAGTCACACTCTCGCTTAACATTTCTGAAGCAAACACACAATCCTCTTCATTAGCGTTAATTTAAACATTTTAAAGTTTTTGTTCAAATTTAGTTTTATTCTGGATCCAAAAGTTTATTTTCATTTTCTTCTTGTTTTTGAAAATATCAACTGGAGGAACTGAGGTCCGTTTGTTTTTCTGTTTGAAGCAGAATTATGTTTCACTGATTTTTAAAATCATCTGAAGAAACACGTGGAACATCGAGAGTCGTCCGTTTGAAGAGACGCAGTCGGGGAAAGTAGACGATACATTTTTGACTCAAGTGAGTCACTTGTTCTGTTGATTCATGTTTCACTGTAATTTGATCTGAAATAAGCATCAATCTGAAACTCATGTGTTACAGCGTCCATCTTAAAATCCGAAACAAAAGATTCAACCAGTGTCTGATCAGAAGATATTTTTAAATCCATCGAACATTTCTGGGAGTGAATTAATTCAGTAACTTGAGGAAACAGTTGATCAGAATATTTTCCCAGCGTCTTCTCTCCTGCTACTGAAGATGAAAATCTTTAACAACATCTCACACATGGTTTCATCCTTAAAGAAGCTCCGAGTCATTATAATAAAAATAATAATGTCAATTATTAGGTTTGATTTACAAAAGAAAACTGAGCAATGACAGGAAGTTAGAAAATCTGATGTTTGAACTGTTCATAAATCACTGATGTAAAAACATTGTTTTTATTATGTTTATAAAAAAAATCTACATTTGCTTCTTTTCTTTGTTTTCCATGTTGTCGTCTGTTTCCAGCTTCATAAAAAGTCTTGAACTTAAGACTTAAACCACGACGTTCTGACAAATGACACATCTTGGATTGTTTCAGATTTTCGTTTATTGATAGTTGTCATATACATTATATTTACTTATAGTGTGGACATGTTTCCACTCAAGTCATCCTGCGTCATGTTTACAGCTGCGAGAATGAACACATGAATATAGACTTAAATTTTTCTGTTGCATAAAAATACATCTCCTTTGTCTTATGTAGAGAATTTGTCCAAAATAAAAGGAAAGAAAGAAAAACTATTTACACTTTAAAAATACGTTGTTTTCATTGATGTGCTTTTATTTCCCTTTATCGTGTTGAAGAAATCGTGTTGAGCCCTTTTTAAAGTCGGATCTCACTCTGGACACTTTTCATCATTTTTCCGCACTTTATGAATGATTTTTAAGATGAAGCTGATGCGCTGTAATTTAACAAGTCACGGTTTAAATCGTAAACGACATCGCAGCTCAATTATATATCAAGAAAAATCTCATCTGCTGGTGAAGATAAAGGAAACAAAAAAACTCAAAGAGACAGAGAAGTAGAACTTTGTACATTTTCACTTAAAACAAAGTTTCTTTTTTTTTTACTTCGAAGTGATGGTTAGTTTATTAGCTCAGGACAAAGTGTAATGATCGTATCAGTGCTGAGAAATAATTTTGTTCTGCCAGAGTGAAACTTTAATACTGAAGAACCATTGACTGTCTCCATGACTCCAAACAGAAAAACTGAAAGAGAACAGCGCCCCCACACTCACTTCCTGATCAGCACATGGACAAACAAAACCCGTTTCATCTTAAATCCACAAGTTTGTGTTCGAGAACAACCGGACAATAAAACTTACGGCAACAAGATTCATCTCGTGTTCTGATAAGAACCTTAAAGTTCTAGAAATAATTCTTTATTCATTCATTCTTTAAAGGTTCAGTGTGTAGAACTGTGTGAGGTCTAGTGTTGCAGTGGAACAGCCCTCACTTCACCCTCTCCTTCCAAACACGAAAAAGAACCTGTGGTAGTCTTCAGTTGTCCTTCAGTTTAGTTTGTCCAGTCTGGACTTATGTAAAAAACATGGCGGTGTAAATATAAGTATTTAAATATAAAGGGTCTTTTCTGGGGTAAAGAAAACTACAATTAAAACAATTTAGATGAAATGAACGAGTGAAAACATCATGAGGATGATTCTCCTTTAAATTTCTGCCGATAGATCCTTTCACCTGAATTCTACACACTGGAGCTTTAAGTACTTTAAGTACTGACAAGATCATTTTCATGTCATTAGAAATTTTCTCTTTGAAATCAAATTATTAGAAATGTATTTAAAAAAGAAACATTTTGGAAACTTAAATGAAACTGAAATAAAAGTAATGTGGATTTCAAACGAGACTTTTCTTGAAGCGTTCAATCGGTTATGAACAGAAAATTGACAATGACACAAAACACATAAAACTGTTATTTTACGACTGTTTTTATAAAACATATATTTTGTTGAAGGATTTTTGGTGTAAAAACTTTTCTTGAAGCAGAAATTTGTACGAGCTCCAGCAGTGGAAACTTTCTCTCTTCAGACAGTTTGAATGTTAAATGTGCAAAATTCCAAAGGTGTTAAAGCTTGAGTACTTTGGCAGCAGGTGTTACTGCGGAGTTAAGTCCATCCTGCTTCTCGTCACAAAAAAACTTTTGTTATAGTTTTGACCAAAATATTTAAGTGAAGGAAGAAGTGTCTTTTCTGTTTGTTGAAAATTCACATCAGTAGATGTTGAATCGTAAGATCTAGACACAGACCATGTAATGAGATATGCAGCCTGTAGGGGGTGATATGAACAAAATTAATGAATGGCTTACATCATAAACAATAATCCATTCTTTTAAAAAACCTTTTCTGTCCCAATGAGCTTCTAAAGCTTTAATTTAATAAAGATCGAAGTCGACGTCTGAACGACTTCAAGCTAACAAGGAATATTTAGTGTTTTTAGAAGCAGGATAAACTCACTGAGACGGTAACGAGAAATAAAGCAGCAAAACATCTGATGCGACAACATATCGATCATGTGACAGAAAGAACGAAAATGTCAGGAACTGCAAAGTCGTGACCACAGAAAACAACGTCAAATCTGTCACTAGAGGAGATTTGGAACGTTTTTAAACGAATGAGCGTGAACGAGCAGCGACTTGTTTTTTCACGCGACAAAGTACAAACACAGGCGACAAGTCCGATTCTAAAAATCTCAGGAAAATAAAGTCTCAGATCTGACGTCAAAACATCACAGACACCACCAGAAGATGGCGACATCTTGAGGCACAATGATGAGCGACAGCGAGAAATAACTGAAGCAGGAAGCTGCTGCAGCTCGTCTCCGAAATGTCTAATGAAACTTTACAAACTTTTCTTTTGAGGAGAATCTGTGAATTTTCTTTTTAGAATCCAACATGTGAATCACAGACTGTAAATAAAGATGGTGGATTACGTTTGGTTTGATTTAAGTTATTTGAGGAAGAAGAACCAGATCATTTTGTTGAGGATTGATTTTTGGTCACAAACGTGATCGTGTCTGTAGATGTTGGGATGAAACCACAGAACGACACAGAACGACACAGAGCTGCTGTCGTTAAGAGCTGAAGAGTGAAGCTGAACTGAGATCAGTTCAAAACACTGACAAGTTATTAACAACCAGTTTATCTCCAATGTTCAGCAGCAAACTTTAAAACACGAAGAACTCTGAACAGAGTTTGGTGGATTAGTTACAGCAGCAGCTCCTCTGGGTCATAAAGCAGAGGATCATGGGTAATATTTCAGGTCAGTGAGTGGGACGACACAGTCAACACATCGATACACTTTGTTTGTAACAGTGACATAAAACACAACCGAGTTCGGTTCTGATCTAAAAATGTGGTCGTTTCTGCAGATTCAATATTTACAATCAAACTGCAGCTGAAGAAAAGTGAGAACGAATCAGCTGCTCTCTGTAAAACTCACACACGACGGGTTCGACTGAGCCGGAGCAGTTCATCAAACCTCCTGCGGCACAAACGTGTTTCGAAGTCTGTCAAGGTTCTTCTAGAAAAAGTAGGAAGCTTCAGTCGAAGTCCGACACTGAAACGTTTCGTTAAAACACGAAAAAGGTTTCGTCAGTGAAGAAAAACTTGACAGTTTCATTGGATTTTTTTATACAATAATTTGTTTCGTCATCTTCGGAGACGTACGTGTAAATAACGTGAAATTTGATGATGATGAAGTGTGTAACCCTGGGTCTCTGAATTGATGAAGTAATGGTAGAGTATGAACATCTCAAGAAATAAAGATGGACGACATGTAGGCTCCCAAAAGTGAAGCCAAATCATCTGGCTCGCCCCCTGGTGGCTGGATGCAGTAAACGTCATAAGTTTGTGAAAGATGTTTCAGTCGTTTCAGCTCGTTCTCCTCTCTCTGATGTTTCTCATCAGTTTGGTTTAATCAGTTATTTGATGATATAAAAACTGAGACTTCATGATTGACAGCTGACTCCTGATTGGTCAAGAGCCTGTGGGCGGAATCTCAATCCAGAGACGTCTCCTCGTCTTTAACTTCAGTCTTTGCTTCAGACTCAGATTCAGGATCTTTCCTGAATGAATCTTGATAAAAGTTTGAATACGTGAAGCTTCGGTTCCGTTGGTTTCCTGCGGGAGTCGCCTGGATTGATTGTGGTGGAACCTGAAGAGCTTCAGCTCCTTTAGAGATGATTCAGATCAACTTCTTTCATTTGCTGTGTTTTTGTCCTGATAATAACTCAAGACTTTATTATAGGTTCTTCAGAAATGTCCATCGATCAGAGACGATCGGTGCCTTCATAAAACGATTGATTGATGAGTCAGATCAGTCTCGGGATCCTTCAATGTTCCACGTGATCGTCCCGTTCTCAGAGAAACCGTCAGGACGTCTTCGCTGAGCTGAACATCAGGTCGTGTGTCCTCTTGACTCTCGGGTTCAACACCTCGTCTCTGTGAGAACCAACCAACTGTTAATGTGCGTCTTCACAGAATCAGACTTCCAGCCTCACGTCCAACGACTTCCTCCAAACGTTCTTCATGATGTTGACATGACGCTGACGATGCTCAGCCGACTGATTTTAGGGCGGGGCTCATGTCAGGACCTTCACTGCTCGGGAAGGAAAAGTCGTTCTGCTGGACAAATGTTTGTGCAACATGAGATTAACTGAAGAGCTAAACTAGGATTGCATTCCAGAAGAAATGTGTCAACTGTCACTTCTGAACTTCCTGTGGTTCGTCTGTCCATCAAGTTTGGCGACAGGAAGAGGCGGGACTTACAGTGACACTAGATAAGGTGCGATGAGGGTGGGTGTTGGGGGGCGGGGTTTAGTGTCCAGGTTGCTGGTGTGAGCTGAAGTTGGTGAAGGAGGGGGGAGGGGAGAGGGACAGAGGGCTGGACTGAGGACTGACGCCCCCTGCTGGTGGAGGCTCTGCCGTCGACTGAGAGACACTGAGGAGGAGGAGATTTATTATTTAACTTTATTTCTCATATGACACGTGTGAGTGTACTTGTGCAGATTCTTTGTGAGGACATTTTGTCTGGTCCTCACTTCCTTTAATGGACTGAAGGTTAAGACCTGGTTTTAGAGTTAGAATCAGGTTTGGGATCAAGGGATCAAGGGATCAAGGGACACTGGAGTTTGAAGAGGAGCTAAGGCAACAAGGAAACGTATATGTGTCAGTGAGTGTGTGTGTGTTAAATAAACTGATGATCACTTGTATTTAGAGCTATTCTCATTCTCATTGGCTGTTCGTGTCGTCAAAACATGGACGGGATGACTTCTATCTAAGTTATACGTTTTAAATTTCTTTCAAGCAAAAGTTATATACCGATAATTATCATGATTATATAAAGAGGTTAGGGAACGTATCATATTAGTGAGTGTGTGTTTCAGGTGAAGGCCTCACCTGACTGTGTAGCTGCTGCGGTGGGCGGGGTCTGTTATCCCTGCGACAAAAAGCTTCTTTGGGGGTCCGTCAGACTCGACTCCACCTGATCAACCGAAGCTCACAGATTTAAACAATCATAAAAAACAGGTTTTACATTCCACACATCTGTTTCTATAGAAAAACTAACAGAGGAGACATTTTCTGTAGTAACTACAGAGCTGTCTTTATATACACTCTTTCGTTAATAAAGGTGCATGAACAGATTTGTTACCTTTCCTCTTCAGGGGGGTCAGTACAGGCCACCTGACTGTGGCGTTGACGGTTGGTCTGTTGAACAGTGAAAACATGTTTCATTATGAAACAGAATAATAAGAACTTCATATGTTTTCATGTGTCAATGTTTATCTGTGACGCACCTGAACCTCCGGGTGGGACTGGGGGAGGAGTTTGGTGTGACGCCGCTGTCCTGTGACTGAAACCACTGAAGAAGATAAAGAAACATCTGGATTCAGTCTGAAACCGCTGATCTGGATTTACAATGAAAGCTCTAAACTGGATCAATCTGAACAGTCTGATCTGGATTCACTCTGTTTCTAATCTGGATTCTCTAGTCTGTGGATTTCAGTAAATGGACGGATCTGGAACAGGAAATAATAAAACGTCCCAACAGGAACCCGAACTAGCACTGTCACAATAAGAGCACAGTATGAAGAGATACTCACCGTTGAAGTGTGGTCATGCCACTGACTGACGGGAGGAACCGGAATCAGACTGGAAGCACTGAGGGAGGAGGGGGAGGTGGCTAGTTACATCTGGTTTATGATTAGTTAGTTTGTTACGGTTACAGTCATTAACCAGGTGAACAGTGATGATGTCAGTGTCAAACCTGAGTCTGTGCAGACTTCCTCTAAGCGTTGTCTCCATGTTCTCCTCCTGTGACCAACACAATCAGCTGTTATTAAAGGAGAAGTTTGTTTTTTTTCAACCTGGTCCTTATTTCCAGCATATGGTTTGTAGATCTCCTCACCCATAAAGGTTTGGAGTAACTTGGAGTCCTTCTGACGCGTTTAAATCCACACGCAATCGGTGTATATCCATACAACGCAAGTGACTGGGGCATCCACGATACAGCCTCTAAATAACCATTATCTGCTGCGAAACTCTTTATTGACTATGAATCTCCAGAACTAGTCCCCTGTGAGTCCAAGTTGCTTTGTTTACATCCCGGGCTTTCACTGGGGTGACGTCACCGAGGCACGCAGCTGCAGATCAGCTGACGATCAGGTGTGTTTGTTTACACAGAGTTTGCTGCTGCTAGTTTTGAGCAACATGACAGAATACTTATCAGGTGCTTTACAGTACAGTATTTTTTTAAAGCAGCTGTGTCCTGGTGCTCGGGCGTATTCACCCAGTTAAAGGCTAGCTAACTTCAGCGGGCTAACGAGCAGCCTCGAAGCTAGCGTAAGCTTAGCGACTGCGCGCCTCGTTGACGTCACCCCAGTGAAAGCCTTTGATGTAATCAAAGCAACTTGGACTCACAGGGGACTAGTGCTGGAGATTCATAGTAAATAAAGAGTTTCGCAGCAGATAATGCGTTATCTAGAGGCTGTATCGTGGATGCCCCAGTCACTTGCGTTGTATGGATATACGCCGATCGCGTGTGGATCTAAAAGCATCCGAAGGACTCCAAGTTACTCCAAACCTTTATGGGTGAGTAGATCTACAAACCATATGCTGGAAATAAGGACCAGGTTTAGAAAAAACGAACTTCTCCTTTAACATGGTGACGTCAGGTATGATGAAGGTTTGTATCAGTGTCTCCATCCTCACCTGTCTCTTCTGGTCGGGTCTGTCTCCGCTTAGAGAGAACGGAGAGAGAGGGATGAGCTAAAAGATAACAAGAAAGAGAGAACGATGAGATGAACAAACAAATGAAGGTGAAGGAAACCGACGACATCGACTGACGAAGTCTGTCCACATTAACACACCTGAAAACACATAAAACCGCTGCCTGTGTTCTTTCAGAATAAAAGTAGCTGAACTGTTTGTAACCGGCTTCTTCTTTGTTCAGTTTATTGGCAGGTGACAACCAACATAACGGTGCATTACCGCCATCTATTGTGTTGGTTCACCATTCCTGCTATACCAGGTCGATTAACCACCGTGCTCTTTCAAAATAAAAGCAGCAGGTCAATCTCTTTCAGTGTTTCAACATTAAAACATGACCTGAGATATATATCACAGTTTCACAATTTTGTAGAAGAGGTGGATTTAATTTAATATTTTTGATTTTGATAATCGAACGTTGTTCAGACAAGACACAGACATGTTAAAGTGCAGTCAGATTATGTGACTGGGGGTTGTTCTCCAACACTGACCTGTGACGGACAGCTGGGGTTGATGGAAACGCTGCTACGTCTGTATCGAGCAGAGGATACAGGACTGAAGACGGTCATCCCATCACTGAGAGAGAGGCATTAATAAACAGAGAGACTGTGAGGACAAACAGAATAGGAGAATAAAGCTATCAACAAAATCCTGTTTAATTTGACGTAACTTTTGTCACAACACAAACATGGAGCGTAAATTTCACATGATAAGTTTCTCTTCTGATTATTTACTCGCTTGAAATCAATTGTTAATGAATTCTAACAAAAATTACTGTGTTGATTTTTAAAGTCTGGACTAATGTAAAAAACAGGGCGGCCTCCATAGAGATGGACCCCTCCATGTAAATATAAAGTATTTAAATATAATTTTTTTAAATATAAAGTATTTAAATATAATTTTTTTAAATAAAAAGTATTTAAATATATATTTTTTAAATAAAAAGTATTTAAATATAAAGGGTATTTTCTGGGGTAAAGAAAACTACAATTCATACAATTTAGATGAAACGAACTAGTGAAAACATCATGAGGATTATTCTAAATTAAATTTCTAAATTTCTGCCAATTTAATAAAATTAAATTTCTGCCAATAGWTCHCTTTSACCTAAATCTTACACACTGGAGCTTTAAGGTGGAATGTTTAGAAAGATACAGCTCTTTTATCAACATAACAACCAAATTAGAAGCAATTTCTACCTCACAAACAATAGAGACAGTCAGAGAACAAACTTTTCTAATTTACGTGTAAGTACATAAATAGAATTAGGTTTTCAATGACTTAACAAAAAGGGTGAAAATACTAATTACTAAATGTGGTATTTTTTTTACCTTTTCCACTGCAGGCATCAATAAAAAGTGTAATTTGAACAAACAGTGAACAGCTGTAGTAGGAGTAAAACAGGCCAAAACAAGTTTAAAGTTTGGATTTTAGTGGATTAAGATACTGCTTGGTGAGGTAAGAAAAAGCCGAATTAAAGAATGTTGTGTAAGAATTATTAAATGTGTTTTAGGAAATGTTTGTGGCCTCATGTGAACCAGTCAAACCAAAATTCTGCGGTTTTTAA